AATGTAAAATAGTTTTAAAAGCTGACAAAATACCTAGAGGAGAACATGAACGATGCTTCAATGTACCAACAATAAACGAAGTAGCAGCAGTTATAAATGGCAATGAATTCAAAAAACGTGATATTATATTACAGAAACGAAGTAATGAATATATGAGAGTTCAAGATACTCATAAATCTTATGATGCTTTACAATATCCGTTGATGTTTTGGCGGGGTGAAGACGGTTATCACTTTGAATTGAAACAAATAAATCCAGCAACTGGTTTAAATACAGATAAAAAAGTATCAGCATAGATTTTTATGCATATAGAACAATGATAAGAAAAATCCCGGAAAATTATTTACTTCGTTATAGTCAATTATTTAATCAATTCATCGTTGACATGTATGCAAAAATAGAAAATGAGCGTTTACATTTTATACGATTTAATCAATCAAAACTCAAGGTTGATCAATATATTCATCTAAAAGACGCATTTGAAAATGATGGAAACCCTGAGGATATAGGACAAAAATAAATTTTACCTGCAAGTTTTATAGGCAGTCCTAAACATATGCATAAGTATACACAAGACGCTCTTTGTATAGCGCAAACGAAAGGAAAACATTGCTTATTTATGGCATTTACATGTAAACTCAATGGCCTGAAATAACAGAAAACTTGTTACCCCATCAGCAAGCAAGAGATAAACATGATTTAGTGGCGAGAGTATTCAAATGTAAATTGAAAAAATTGATGGATTTAAAAGCAAAATATTTGGCGAAGTTGTAACCTGGGTTTATTCCATAAAATGGCAGAAAAGGGGATTACCACACATAGGATAAACCTATCGACTACGGTCTGAGTTGTGAAAAAACACGATTAATATATTTTTATTATTATTAAAATCATTTTTTTATGATAGTAGGAATATAGATGGAAAAACTTGGGAAAAGTAATATTTTTAGTTAATAAAGGTATTTCAGTATTTGAATAATCATCAATATAACCTTAGCGTTTTAATTAAGAAGAAGAAGAATATTTTACTATTGGGCACTAGTACTACAGAAAGTTAAATTATGTTTTGCAAATAAATTGCATTTGAAAATATCATTGTGTATGTGTAATACCTATACTTTGAAAGATTCAAAATCCATAAATAATATTTTTTGATTACAACAAAATAACTACAATCATTATTCTTAGATTAAATATCTAATAGGTAATTGTTCGTCTAAATAAAAACTCAAGTATATAAAAAAAAGTACTGTGTTGATCTATTATTTTTCATTTTTTTCATAAATATGTTTTAACACGATAACATGTATCTGACCAATTTTCTGTGATGTTTTCATCATTGTTAGGTACTCTTATTTATTAAGAAAAATATATTTAGATTCATATTCCCTATAGAGGAAAAAATAACTTTTTTTGTTATAAATTATTATTTATTAGCTTTAAAAATTAAACATTTTATAAATTTTTGAAATTTAGTCAAAATATTTGAATTTTATGCTTATAAAAAAAATCGTACTTACCTATAGATTTTTAACATTTTAAAATGTCAAAATATCTTCCACTGCTTATATAATAACTTGTTAGAAATATTGTATTAAATTATGTTCAAGCATTTCAAGCTAGTTTAAACTGTTTAAGTGAAGGTAGAACCTAACATACTTATGATTGCAAATTCCATGAAATACTTAGGTACTTAACATGAGTATTAAATTATCTTTATTTTATATGACTGATATGACTTGATTTTTATATAGCACAATAGTAGGTACTTTGCAATATTCTCTACATGGATATATATTTGAAGTTAATTTATAACTGTTTCAAATTCTTTTAGGTACCTACTTATAATGTTAAAAACTGCTTCACAACTATATAGTTATCTTATTTATTATACAGCTAATTTGTTTACTTAAACCGCCAAGTAGAATATAATAAAACTTTAAAATTTCAATTCAGATATGATTTTAGTTAAAACAGCTTTCAATAATTAACATAACATAATATATTTACTAATAAAAATATGTCATACTGGTATAAGAATATAATTTATAGGTGCATAAAATATTATAAACAAAAGTTTATTATTAATATTTTTGATTAGGTAAGTAGATTTTTTTACATTTCATTAAAAATAATACTCTTGATTCAATAAAATACAATTTTTATTAACATCAATAGGTATAATTGATAAGTAGATGGGTACAATGTTTGGTGTTATTATGTTATAAATCCACAAAAATAAATTTTATAAATTATAAACTATAAGTGACTGATAAGTAAATTTAATAATTATAATTCAAAATGGCATTTAAAGGAAATAATAAAAATACATTTTTAACAAGTAGGTAATCTGTATTTAATATACTTTTAGTCCTTTTAGACACGAGCCAACTCATCCATCATTTATCAATGAAATTAAAAATTAAATAGTTAAATAAATTTAAAATTCATAAAATTTATAAACTACCTACCTATATATCRTGGATAAGTTGAATAAGTATAAAGGAATATTTTTATTTATTATTTAGATATCATGTTTTTCAAACAGCTGAATTATGATTATGTTACACAGTTCTAGTTAGGCAGTTATTTTCTAAAAAGGATTTTGTACGCAAATCAAATTAATATTTAGGAAAACATCTCCATCAAGTTTTAGAAAATAATATGTCACACATCTTAAGGTTTTTACAAAATTTAAATCAGTATGGCTGAAGACTCCCAATGTACACGGAAAAAATCTGATAAAATAATATATTTTTGTCTATTTAGAATAACCACAATCAGACAATATTAAACAATATTAATAAAATATATCAATATGAGAACAAAGAAAAATAAGGATAAGATATGTTGACAATTGTATGATTGAAAAATTGTTTTAGGAGTCTGTAAGATCAGCAGTTTACACAGAAATATAGTAGGTAAAGTTAAGTAAAAAAACCATTGTGGAGAGATTAAATACCTCCTAGGCACCAATTGCTAATGGTACTTTTTTATTAACTTGGTTATATAAGGTAGATTTTATTTGATTAGGTATTTTTATTTTAATAATCGTATAGATTGTTTCACTCAGTGGGTTCTCATTACACATGAATAGGTCTATCTATATACATCAAAAACTTCAACTATAACTTACAATTTATGTTTTAAATTAAATTAGTATATATTTGAAAAAAAAATTTATTTTTCAATAATATATTAGGTATTTGTGAGTATAATTTATTTGATACCAAACTGTACCTATGCCAAATTATTACAAAAATAGATAATATCAAATATAGGTTTTATAAATTAATACAGTATACTAAAGAAAGTATCAGTTAACTATATAAATATATAATATAATTATATATATATATATATATATTATATATGTATATTAAATATTGGCTATAGATAAAACAAAACTAATTTTACAAATTATTATAGTGACAGCAGAGTTAGAGCTCAGAATAAATAGGCATATATTAATATATTATGGTAAATGATATAGATATTTGGGTACCATTTATTATTTCTAAGATAATAAATTTAACATTTTACATTTAATATTTTACACCTTTCTATTGGTTTTAAACACAGATTTTCAACAAGCTTTAATTACTAGAAAAATAAGGTATTTATGATTTAATTGTCAATAGGTAACATATTACATTAATCCATATTCGTGTTATAATTTTAAAACAAATATATATCAAAAAAAATATTTAACAATCCAACTAAATGTAAACATCACATAATTACCATACATACATTAACCTGCAATCGTTTTATTTTAGTCTAAAAGTATCATATAATGAAAATAAAAATACTGAAAATTTTCGAAACTTAATTCATAATTAGGTATTTGCATATAAATATGCATAATATAATAATTCAAATATAATAACATTCATAATAATATAATTCAACGATTATAACATATTTAGATTGGTGCATTTTCTATTACTATTAGGTATCAATACTCATAAACTTTATTTAAACTACATAAACTCAATTAAAGTTTAATAATATTGCACCACAATTACAAAAATAATAGGACTCAGCAGTAGTATTATTGTAATATTGTACAATATTTCAGATCCATATGTTACATGTCTATTCATTCGACATAAAAGAAATGTATGAATAAATATAATGTTAGCAGTGACAAAACATGTATTTAGTGAATGACAATGTTATTGATATACACAAATATATTAAATAGATTATTGCTATCTGGAATGTATGGGAAACAAACTTTTGGCAACAAAATGAGCAAATCTATTGCAGACTTTAGCAATAGGTAGAGAAGACTTAGGCATTTATCAATTGATTTTCATATTTTACCGTGGGCCAGTTAGAGTAATAGTTATCTTTGTGTAAAGTTAATACATATTATTTTTATAAAAAAATCTCCTAATTTCTTACATAAGAAATAACAATTATTACCATGACAAATATTAATATATCCTATATCATATTATTATTATATAACATATCCTAATAAGATCGATTGAATTAAAATTATTCTTAAACAATTTTTCAAACTTTTTTAAAAATTATTTACTGTATACTTGTGTATCATATTATTTAAATCAATATTTAAGTAATGATATATGTACAGTAGAAAAAAATGTTCTGAAAGATTGGGGATATTTAAAATTGTTATCTGATTTATGTAAAAGTTTCAGTTGTAAGCATAATAAAGTCAAACATGCGATATTTTTCCAAACCATATTAGGTATGTTGTCGAACGTAAATTGTCACAACATTTTAATAAACAAAACATGAATTAAAGAAAGAAAAAAGTGTATTACGACAGTCAATAAAATATTACTATCCCGGTAGTCGAGATTCAGCATAGAAGTCGGGTTCATCTTCGTCATTAGCCATGTTGGTGGGCTCGTTACTGTCCAGCTATAGTTGAATAACAACAAATCTAGTATTAAAACATCCACAAGGTAAAATATAATAATTAATATATGGACACTTACTGCTCGTAATTCTTTTGTAGTAAATAATTTATCACATAGTTGAGATCGAACAGGAATCATCATGATTAARAAAAACGGAAAAAACAAAGAATATGATGACGACTTAACGCTCCACAAAATACATAAACATACGAGTTGAATTCCAGTGAATAGATGCATTTTATATGTCTGTACCTGAAGCACAAAATCCAACATGAAAACTCATTAATAATGAATTAATTAAATTAAAATAAAAACATTTTCAGTWTAAAGAATTAAAGTAGGTATTAAAAAATATTGTTTAAACGTTCCAGGAACCTGGTATATATGCACTTATGGGTTTCTTTCTTTATAATTTATATATAATATTAATATATTAGAACTTATAAGACATTAGTAGAGCATGATTTATTTATACAATTTTTCTAAAGTTCATGGTTTTTTTTATATATTATTGACACATATTGTATTAATTCCGTCTTTATACCAATTATGCATAATATATACCAAAAAGAACATCCAGCAGTTTCAATTTTGTGTTGTTAATTAAAATTTTAGAGTGAATTGATCAATCATCAAAATTAAATACAAAAGCATTATCTTTGTTTTATCGTTGGTTTTCACAATATTTTTCTTTGTAATGAATTATGAATATGTATCATAATATCAATCTTTAAAAATTTTCAAGATTCACTTAAAAATAAATATATTAGAAATAATCAAATATAGAACATAGTTAATGTTTATACATTTAAATTTGATAATTGGTCAATTCACTCAACATTACAAAATCGGAACTGCTTGTTACGAACATTTACGTAAATTATGGTTAACTGAGAAGGAGACACGCGAGACGTCCTCTTAACAATAGTATCTATCACCACGATTTAAGATATATCTTAAATCGTTACAATTTCCTAATAGTTTGATTAAATTACAAATATAATTTGATTAAAAATAAAAAAAYATAAACATATATTAATATACTTACATGGCGAACGTACGGTGCTTCTGAATGATGTTTCACAGGCATGAAAACTAATTTGAGACGTTCGAAAAACTGTATACCATCTATGGACGATATTCCCATGTACAGAAATACGCCAAAAAGTACAGCCATTGGAATCAATCGCAGTAAAGGAGACATGACGACTGAACAACCAACCATTACGGACACTAAAAGAGAGCTGACTCTTTGCTCTAATTCCAATAAAAAATTTAAATAAATTAGAATTAATYAAATAAAACATAATAATATCGCTGAATTACTAATACTTAATCTTTATTGCATTATTATTTACAGTCATAATGAATAAATGATATTATATCATTTACACTGTCGATAGTTTTGGTTGATACTTAATCTAAGTATTTTATAAATTACATAAATTTAAAACAAAAAACACATCCAACTTGATATTTCAAAAATATGTTTTTCCGATTACTTAGATAGTTAGATATACCAACATCATATTAAAATTATATTATAACTAATTGGTTGAAACATAGATTTATTACGTGTTGACTGTTGATACATACTTAATACCTATTGAGTATTGATTCAATATTTCAGTATAGCAAGCATGTGTGATG